AACTAAAAATGTGACTAAACGCGGTCAATGATTAAATTTCTTATTTTTGTTGTTTGCCTTCAATAGAAAATGCAACTTACTCCCGTGAATTAAAAAAAAAAGGAAAAACATGGTCATGCAGAGACGCGAAAGATCCGAGTTAACTAGCGTAAAGAATATTTCATCGTACATAAGTAATGCAAAATCTGCAAAAGAGAGAAGAAAATTTATCGCTAAAAAAAAAATCAATCGAAAAATTCGTTTAAAATTGCCACGCATACTCCTTCCATATAAACATATTTATACATATATACTTTTACATATCAGTATAATACAGACGCGTGTATCCGTACCAACACGCATACACGCGCCTTTAATTAGGTCGTTCGCACGTAGAGGTTACTCATATTGTCTCTCTCTCTATTTTTAATGTAATCACAGACACGGTTTCTATATAATTGCTACATACAGAGTCTTCTGATTCGACACTGAACGCGATAAGTTCCTCCTTTCTCTCCATTTCGCTCTGTTCTTCACAAACACACATTTCTCTTCTCTCTCTCTCTTTTTTTTTAATACTCTATCTCACAGTGCTTCTCTTTTACAATCATATCTCTCTCCGTCATCTCAAACGAACGGCACTCTCTCAAATTCTTGCACACCACACAATTTTTACGCATACCATCGCGCCAAGTATTCGGAACAACTAATGGAACGAGTAACAGAAAAAAAAAAAAAAGAAGAAAAAACTTACCAATGATGCATTATTAGACGGCCATATTAAGTAGATGATGGATATTTTCACCGATATTCTCGCGTAAACCAGCCACGCTATCGGAGAAATTAACGAAAAAATTGCAAATATATATATATATAGATGTGTATATTATGTGTGTGTATTCTTTAATCCATGCACCAGATTTCTATTGCATTATATACTCGACTAACTATATTCGCTAATTATTGCAACATCTAAGCGGTGTTTTGTAGCTATTGTAAGGAAAATTTATACTTATAGATTAAATAATATTTAGAAGAAAGAAAAATATTAAAAAATGATTAATATTTACGAAGTAGTAGATCGAGAATCATTTCATCGAATCATTCGATGTATTAACAGTACCAATTATTGAAATTTTTAACTGGAAGAAAGAATTATTAAACAAACAAAAAAAAAAAGTGAAATTTTGAAAAGAATACAAGCAATGACCGACGACAATTCGTTAAACGTTATTGTTGCAATGTAAATCAATACATCGGTAGTAAACCGTGTGATGACGTTTCACTTTTACTCGTTCTTCATTCGTATCAACATGCATTTTCTCACTCGACTCAATCACTCTTGTCACATACGAAACACCAGAAAAGACAATTGTTCGATATATGCACGAAACACACCCCCTCCCTTTATGCGAAGAAAATCACAGTTGTTTGCCTCATATTTGTTTGTTTTATTTTCACACACGCGCACACACATGCACACACACACACAGCAACACACATTCAGACACGCACAACACACGTTTGTTCTTCCTTTACCTTCTCTCATTCGTATATTTCATACACTCTCTCCCTCGTTCTTTGTTCGTAAAACGGATAATATACAATTTGACACAACATATACGCGCAAGCCTCGCTTGGGTCGCTCACGTGTATATGTGTTTCTTTCTACATACATAACACCTATATATATGTACATATAAACTCACGCATTTTGTTAAATGTTTGTACGTATTAAGTGTAACGTGTGTTCTTATTGTGATAATTATACCAACATATGGATCGAGCTCGAAATCGCTCGACAGCCGACGGCCAATGAAAATAATGGCGATGGACAATCCCAGTATGATATGTGGGCCAACTGCTACGATAGCGATAACGCTGACGAGATAAAATCATAAAATCGTCGTCATCGTCGTCGTAACACGTCCCATGGAAAGAAGTTTTTTTCCGGAGATCGATGAAGAAAATCAGAAGTCGATAAAATTAACAGGTTTCTTGGCTGTACGTTGGACAACGGTGGCGACAGAAATATGTACATTGTTTTCTTTTTCTCAAATTGAAGGTTTTCAAGTATGTACGGTGTTTTGCATCTATACACGAGCGCGCGTGTTGTATGTGTGGCTCGGTTGTAATTTGCATTGACAGTGCGAGGTTAGGCAAACATAAAAAAACGATAATCCTTAATCATGCGAACAGATGAGAGAATGTAGCAGATGGTAAATTCTTCGATCCTTCATCTGGAAGTGTGAATTGCTTGCGTCGTTCTTTTTCCATCTTCTTCGATTTTGTTCTTCACCAAGGGAGGGAGAGCATCATACCAAGAACATTGAAACACGAGAGGGTTCAGAATATTCAACTAGATTGATACATAAGAGACGTTCGTGGAAGAAAAAAGATTTGCGACGGTAAAAACACGTTGTTGAATCCTTATCGAGGGAGAGACTCATTTCGCGTTTCCTCTCTCAAGAACAGAGGAGCGGGTCAGACTGGTTCGTTGTTCCCCACTCCCAACGTAGCTTCGTTTCAGGCTTAACGGAAGTACGCGGGAGGAGAGCTGAGATCAATTTGTCGGGCTGAGAGAGTTCCTCTTGGAGCTAGCCCATTTTTTTCCTTACATTTGAAGACGCGATCTCACCGGCCAGTGTTTTCCATCGACAAAGGCTTGGAAAAAAGGAGGGGCCGGATCTTCTGTGAGATACGCCAGGACGCAAAAGGGCCACTGGTCTAGGTACATGTCGTTTTCACGCGAACGCGCAGCTTTCTCCTCGAATATTCAATGATGATGATGATGATGATGATACTTCCCGCTTAAGAGTATCCTTTTTTCTTTCGTACAGTCGGCGAAAATCCAGAATGACTCGCACATATGGTTGGACTAGAGTCAGTCGTGATTGCAATCATTATGATTCGTCGGACGACACAATATTGGACGAATTTTTCTTCGGGGAGAACCAGATTTAGCCGAAAAACGATTATTCACTTTTTGTACACTTATTTCTTTTCTTTGTTTCTTTTTTTTTTTGCTGTCCATTTCGTAACGAGGTGCACGAAGAAGCTCGTTACATGTAATCTTTGTCAAACTCAACGATGAATGAAGTAGAATTGCGCGTTTGTGTGTACGAATTACATATTCACCCGACCAGAGGAGAGCGATCACATGTCACGAAACGCGTATGCTTTGATCAGTCCGAGAGCGTGATGCACGTCCAATGAAAATGAAGCGAGACATCGTCGCATCGATGAATTCGTGCCGAAAAACGCTTCAACTGGAAACGAACGCAGCGATCTGCTCGCTAAACTGCGAGTGCTCCAATAATAAAGAGTCCTTGCAAGTTTCGAATTGTTGTTGCTGTTGTTGTTGTGGATGGTGTTGATGCTGGTGTTGGTGTTGACGTTGATGTTGGTGTTGATGCTGATGTTGTTGAGAGTCCTCTGGTTCAGGCTCGGTACGTTCGTACAGAACACAAATAGATCCGTTTTCACCAATTCTGTACGATACTTCTGACGGGTCGATCCACATGGTGAGCTCGCTTGGAAACAAGCTGTGCAATACTGTAGGCAGCAAACCGACGTTCGCGCCCGCTTGTACTATTACCGGGTCCATTTTACCGTTGATACGTATGCAACGGTAACCGGAACCACGATTTGGACGATCCGGAAACCAGTGATTTCTGTATCGACGATGTAGAACCTCCGTTAAGGAGGCCTTGAACATTTCCAGCTGACGTTCAGACAGCTGGCCCGTCTGAAGACGCAGTAGGTGCACCAAAAAATCCGCCGCGAACACAATTTCCAGTCTCATGGTTGCTATGCGATGCGACCCAGGACGAATAATTTATGATAAAATTTCGTCGTCGATGTTGCACCAGTCCTTTTCCTCCTCTTTTTCTCTTCCAGATGTAGCAACGGGACGACAGGATCGTAAGAAAACACTGTTCCTTCCGTGATTCCGGAGGTCACAGTACAAAGGAGGCCGTTACTGCTCGCGGGACGCGCACACGAGTCTTCACAAAATGGCGTCGCGGCCACGTTGCACGATCGCGCTTAATATTCGTTCGTCGACGCTCCAGCGCGGAAAAAAATTCCCAGCGTTCTGTGAAAATTTTTTCACGAATGTTGATAACAAATTTAGCTCGCACAACCCTTTCAATGCAAGAAAGCCTCTGCAGTAGGCGCTCTTTCGTTGGGATTTTTTTCAATTACTCAGGACGGGCTAGTTAAAGCAGCAAAATTAATCCTTTGCAAGTCAGAAATGTCACGATCGTAACTGATTTTTTTGTTGTATACGCGTTCCAAATCGTTTCTCGGATCCCTGGGATGCCAGTGAGAATCGACAAGACGACAAGATATAAAAACTCGAGCGATCGCAACAACGGTAGCCTTTTTCTCTCCCACGCTGTTTCACTTCGTACACTTTATAACCATGGAAAAACTTTCTCGTAAAGCTTAAATCGATGCACTTTTCTCTAATTCACGACACAACCGCACCCACCAACTGCCAACGACTTTCTAGTGGCAGCGACCATCGACGCAAACGAAGTAGCTTTGTCTCTTTGTTCACGCAGCTTCGAGCGGGGATAGTACGAGGTTTCCAATTGGACCGTTCCGATTCCCACCGCTTCCACTCGTCACATGATCACAGTCTGCGCGCCTTCGGCTGCGCGGACGTTTGCAGCTGCGTCCCGAATACGGATCGTCTGCGCGAATAAGGGTTCTCAAATGGTTTATGCTAACATCACCGGTAGAAGTCAGTAATTTTCAACACTTTCTCCGAAATTTACAGTACAAAGAATATTACATGTACAGGCGTAGTACTAATGTAAAATTTACGGAACAGAAAAATATCATTCAAACGGAAAAACAATTTTATTTCGAACCAATGTTATTCTTTTCTTTTACTTACTTCTAAAGATACACAACACATAAATAAAGCGTTTCAACGTATACGTTCAAACGTGTATCAAACATATTTTCGATTATGCTAAATATCGTTAAGAATTAACGATGAAAAAGAAACTCATAAACAGTTTTATTAGTAACACACCCGCACCTGTGTACTTTCAAAGATGTATGTTTACCTTTTGATAAAAATATCAATCTCTGGTAAACATATTTGTTCAAACACGAATAATATTAATATTAATATTCAACAGTTGTTATCATTATTTTTAAATGATGCTGTTAAAATGTTTAAGAGACAGATGTGGATTACACAATTATTAAATAAAACAAAATTGTAAACTAGAATTATTAACCAGAATTATATACAAATTTCCATGGAAGATGTAATATATCATAATGTCATTTGTAAGTAAGAGATTTCTATAAATTCATATATCATTTCCTGCACCATTAATTAGGTTAATATAATTTATAATTACATAACTACAAAACTTTCAAAACGTATAAAATCCTGACGCAAATTTTTGTCTTTATTTTATATTATGTGATAATTGCTTCATCGAAACATTTAACATTAATACTGTATTAAATAAAACACGATTTATAAAAATTTACCGCGCTGCAGCTCGATAAATTAACATCTATGTCCCACTTACTTCAAATCAAATAAAATATACTCCATGGACAACGTATTATTAAAAACAAAAGTAACAAAAATGATCTCAGAAATTTATCTTTCTGATGGGCAAAACTATTTGTCAAATGCGCAAAAAGTACGAGATAAGATTGAGAGTATATCTACTAATTTATCGGTAGATTAAAAAAAAAAGAAGTTTGGAAAAAGGAACCCAGCACAGAGAACGATCAAACAATGAAATTCTGTGACTAATCCTACGATCGACAATTCAAATACCGGTTTTCAATGTAAAATATATTCTAAAGGGAAGCACGATAAATTTTACGATTGTCTCAATAAAATTCTCGTCGTTTTAAGGCTGATTAACTATCCTCTGAAAACTCTATTGAACCTCCGTAATACAACGGAAAGTCGTAATACCGCGTTTCCGTAGATAATTTGAGGTTCGCGGAGACAGGAACATGTGGCAAGTGTATACGCAGCTTTCGTGGAATGTAAAACCTTAAAGACGCGTCACGTACAACGATGTGATATAATAAAATTCTCGCATAATTTACCATCAAGCGTTGAACTTTTCACATCTTCGATACCGTACAAAATTTCATTTGCATAAAAGAAAGACTGCCCCCCGTTACGATACTTACGAAAACTGAATAAACATAACCTACAATATTACATTCACAACGACCGGATTCATTTCAGACAATCGGATATGCAATGTCTACAGAAACTTTCATTAGAAATAGGTGAATCGTCTGATCATTCTCGTTTCTATTTACACTCATCTTCTGTTAATTAAACAAGCATTACATTTTATACTAATTAACCGATTTTCTTCCGTACTCTACGGAACGCTGTATTTCATTGAAATTCTTTTCATACCACCGATTCTGTTTTATTTCTCTCGTTCCCCGTTTCGTCGAATAAATTTAATTCGCCTAATATTCCTAACTATTTTCCTTACTTTACATTCTTCCCCCTATCTTCTCCACATGTTCATTCTACGCGCTCTCTATCCGCGTGTACGTTACATTCTCATTTCTCGCGTAGTAAAAGATTTCCTCCGCCGTGAATATATACACAAAGCGTGAAAATGGATAGAAATAAATCAGACATGGTTCGTTGCGTCTAATTTCCGTTTTCCTTTTTTCTTTTCAATACGAAAATTGCAAAGTCAATACCGTACGATATTATTTTCCTTGAATAGGAAAGCGGAAATTTCGCGTATTGATTTTCTCACACTTTCCCCCGGTTTATTTCGTTCTGCCTGCCGCTGGATTATTCCCCCTCCCGGGCGGAGCTCTGATAAAAGGATACGCGGAGTCTACATACCTGATGGCCGAGGGTGATCCGTGATCCATGATCCCTCAATGAGCATTACAGAGACCCCCCTCGAATTTCGCTACCTAAGCCCCGAAAGTGGACGGTCCGAATATAAAACTAATGCAGCCAACCTAGAAATGCACGGCCTTATAGAATCTCTCTGCCAGCGTAACGGGTCAGAGCTTGCTTCTCGTAATAATAGTGACTGCTATACGAGGCCGAATTCAACAAGCGTACACTCGGCCCTATTATCAAAAAAACTTGCTTGCCTGGTGTGTGCAACCCTTTCGAACC